TAATTTTATTAAAAAAATATAATTAATCAAAAGTATTTTTATCAAAAGTATCACTGATGTCAGAATATTTATCATAAAAAAATTCATTTCTATCACTATTTTTATAAAAAAAATATATATTATAAGATTTACAGACAAATCACGTAAAAAACATTTTCTTGTTGGAATACTTCGACGAAACATGGTATATTCTTTTTCATCCCACAACTTTCCTCGTCATCTACTCCGCCATGTGGAAATTGTTGGGTTGGCCTAAGAAATTGATGGAACACATATTTATTATTATTTAAAAAAAATATATGTTTTTCATATGCTCAAATCCAAAATAGAATTTTGAAAACATGAATTGGACTGAAACTATGATCGTGGACCTTTTTATTGGGCCCATTTCCAGCACCCCGTGGACATACACTTAATGTTTATCAACATTACTGAACGCTCCTTTAGCCCATTCATTTGGCACATTCAGAAAAACAGTGACAAACAACACTACCTAAATATGTCTTAAAACAAATTATGGAGAAAAAATTATTGATTTTGATGTTTTAATAAACCCTTCAGAAAAAACTATAATGTAAGAAGTTGATAAGTTAAAGGTAAGCCTAAGCAAATTGGGTTTTAGATTTAAATCCATACACGACTTTGTGTTTGGCAAAGCTTAGGACTGGACTTGTACTTTGGTTTATTGTAAAATTATTTTTTAGCCAACTTGTTATAATATGAAGTTGAAATGCAACCTCCTACTGGAGGCTTACATGGTCGTTAACTTCAGGGCCCGTGGGATTAGTCGTGGTAAGCGCAAACTGGCTCAGACACCCACATTAATCTAAAAAAGTTGAAATGCAACCTCACACAGACAGTAACTCCAGTTTATCTTGCCTGGAAGGCTGCAAGTGAATACATCAAGCAGCAAAATTTCAATGTCTTGCTGTCACTTTGCACATCATTATTATAATGATTCATTTTCATTCAAAAGCATGGCAGCATTTGTTTCTGGTAAAAGAAACAGCCAGAAGGCCCTCCTTCAGGCAGCAATGCCAGCCTCACAGCATTTTCGGCTCCCTCGGACGCGGTGAAGATGCCTGTATTGGTAGTTATGTCAGTCTTGCAATAGCCAGGACAGAGACAGTTCACACAGAAACTGGGGTACTTCTTGGCCAGAATCCTTGTGTAGGCACTCATGGCAGCTTTAGAAACAATATAGGCAGGCAGATAAGTTGGCCAGCCTTTGGATTCCAGCAAATCTTCCTTAAAATCTTTAAGAAACTCGTTCACAACCTCATCTACTCTATCTTCATTGAGATTTTCAACATCATTCAGCAATCCTTTTGCCCATTCATTGTTTATGTTCTAAGCTGCATAACAGGGAAAAACTTGGGTTAGACTGCATGTAAATACAACTACGTGCTATAGTCTGTGCTAAATGAAACACAGATTCAAAGGATAGTAGATGCAAGATTATCCCTATAATGCTAATTCTTTGGAGCTAACACGGGAAACAAGTACTTTGCACTTAATTACCAGGCTCGGAAAGATACGACACAGAGATTATTAACAAGGAAAATTGTTTCTTCTAGGAAAATTATCCAGAAGGCAAGATAATTCATAATAAGAAGACATAGAAACGTTACTTCACATTTACCAGTCTTGAAGTCGAATTCATGTTTTCTCAAAAAGGGAGAAATAACTCGGCCAAATTCCAAAATATGAAACTACTAATTAATTCAATATGGATAAAAAAGTATCAAGATTTCATTCTTGAAAGACAGTCCTGTACCTTTAAAAGCCCCAGCTTTGAAGAGACATTTACGATCCTCGGTGAATCAGACAACTGTAGGAGGGGAGCTAGTGCTTCTACCATTCCTCTTGCACCATAGTAGTTTGTTTTCACACATTGTTCTGCCATCTCATAACTTTGAGTTCCAATTTCAGCCCACACTTGCTTTCCAGTTGGCTGCATTTACACAAAAGAATTTATACCCTTTTTAACGCTTCAAAAAAAAAAACATATCCACAACAACAATTGTAAGATCTACTTAATTTTCTATTCTAAATAACCTCAATATTCACAAAATGATGATTAAAAGCAACAATTAGTGTCAATGGCTGATTCCTGGTCTATCATGTAAATATAGCCAGCACAGGCATTGCCGTTTCGGAAGATCGATAGTGATTAGTTTATGACTTGTGTCCTCCTCTTGGAGTCATTTCAAAATCAAGACTTACGAAATCACCAGCTTGTTCAAAGGCTCTTTTAAAAGCGTCAACCTTTAGTGCAACTCCACTAATCCCAGCATTGTTCACCTGCACAAGGTTCCAAAAATTATGAGATAAACAAAAAAAAAATCAGATGATTACAATCCAAGAAATTCGTTACTTCATATATACCAAGATATCAAGTTTTCCAAATTTGGTTTTCACAAATTCTGCAAGCGACGCGATGCTATTGAGGTCAACCACGTCAAGTTGATGGAAAACCACAAGATCATCAGAGATACCAGAGTCTTTCAGCTTTTGAACAGCTTCAAGACCGATTTTCTCATCGATGGCTGTTAACACCACCAAAATCCCATTAGAAGCTAACTGCCTGCATATTTCATATCCAATCCCCTTTTCTGCTCCTGTCACAACTGCATGCCTGAGACACAGACACTTTAAAGAAGTCAGGATTTTCTTAACAAAAGAAGAAGAAAAAAGAAGCGTAACCTTCACCTCTTTGCGTGAATGGTGGACTCTTGAGCCATGGCTGATAATATGAAGATGGCTATGAGATGATTTTAAAAAGAACGCAGAACTTAATGACTCTTTTAACAGATTGTAAGAAGATTTAAATAGATTCTTACAGTCTGCACTTTCCCATGTGGCCGCGTGAATCAGATAATAACACATGATTTATTTTTTGTTATATTTAAAAAAAAAATATTATATTTTTTAAAAACCAATAATCACAATTAATTACATGTTACATTAAGCTACGTGGGAAAAACACTATAATATTATTTACAAAACAATATGGATTTTACATAGTTTTTTAAATAGTTTTTTTTATAATTTTTTATAAATTATTTTTATTAATTTTATTTTTTTAATATCAATCACCATATTAAAAAAGTACTATAACTTTATTCATAAAATACTGTGGATTATTATAATATTTTTATCATATGATTTTTATTTTTATTTTTTTTTTAAATTATCTTTGTTGATTTTATTTTTTTAATTTTGAGCTGGTTGGTATTTTAGCTTTGTAATTTTTTAAAAAAACATTATGAATTGCTATAATGTTCCCCCATATTATTTTTTTATTATGATTTTTTATAAAATTATCTTTGTCAATTTAATTTTTTAAATATTAAACTAGTTAAGAATTTAGCTTTGTAATTTTAAAAAACAAATATTATAGGTAGTTACAATGTTTTTCCACGTGGTTTTTTTTGTTTTTTTATTATGATCTTTTTCTAAAATTATCTTTGTTAGTTTTAATGAGAAAAACACTATAAGTTTCCTCATAAAACACTATGAATTGTTATAATATTTCTCCATATAGTTTTTTCTATTATATTTTTTTCAAAATTATTTTTTATTTTATTTTTTTAATATTATAATTACAACTAAATCATGTGAGGAAAGCACTGTAGTTTTCCTCGTAAAATATTGTGAATTGTTACAGTGTTTTCTCACGTGGATTTTTTTGTTTTTTAATTTTTTTTAATCAATTTTTTAAAAAATATTAAGCTGGTTGAGAATTACAATTACAATAAAGCTAAATCAAGTAAGGAAAACACTATAGCTTTCCTCACAAAACACAATATTTTCTCACATGATTTTTTTTGTTTTGCTTTTTTTGTTATAATTGTTTTTTAAATTATTTTTGTTGATTTAATTGGAGAAAACAATGTAGCTTTTCTCACAAAACACTATAAATTGTTATAATGTTTACCACATGGTTTTTTTTATTATATATTTTTTAAATCATCTTTATTGATTTTATTTTTAAAAAATTAATAATTATAGGTGATTACAAGTAAGGTTAAATCATGTGGGAAACGCATTGTAGCTTTCCTTACAAAACACTATGGATTGTTACATATTTTTCACATATAGTTTTTTTGTTTTTTATGATTTTTATTGAAATTATTTTTATCGATTTTATTTTTTAATATTGAGCATCATGGTAAAAACAGAGTAGCTTTCCTTACAAAATATTGTGGATTGGTATAGTGTTTCCCCTACAAGTTTTTTTTCATCGATTTTATTTTTTAATATTGAGCATCATGGAAAAAACAGATTAGCTTTCCTTACAAAATATTGTGGATTGGTATAGTGTTTCCCCTACAAGGTTTTTTTCAATTTTTTTTAAATTATCTTTGTTAATTTTATTTTTTTTAATATTAAACTGGTTGTGGTTTTAGCTTTGTAATTTTTTTAAAAACATCATAGATTGATGTAGTGTTTCCTTGCATGATTGTTTTATGATTTTTTCTAAAATTATCTTTCAATTTTATTTTTTTAATATTAAACTAGTTAAAAATTTAGTTTCATAATTGTTGTTTTTAAAATATTATGAATTGTTAATAAAAAATTAAATCATATAACAAAAAATTAAATTACATAAAAAAAATATTATAACTTTTCTCATAAAATACTATAAATTACTACAATTTATTTCATTTAGTCTCTAAATTTTTAATTTCCAACACAATTTTTTTTCTCTCGTCTACTGGACCTTCAATTTCTATAATTTATCTACTATTAATTGATAAGTATAAATTATTAAATATATTTGCTTTATCAGCTCGCGGCAGGCGAGTACCCCATCTAGTCTTTCCATAGCTCATGTACAATTGATCGCGTGTCCCATATATTCACCACTTACATCCCATCTAGTCTTTCCATAGCTCACGTACAATTGATGGCGTGTCCATGTATGCACCACTCACATGAACATCTTCAAAGGACAGCATGCATTATTGATTTTGCACGATTTTGGAGTTTTTTTTATTTTTTTTTAAATTAGCATTGCTTGGAAAAATAACAAAATAATGTAGTTTGAAATTTTGTTTTGGTAAAATAGCACGTGGTATAAATTTCAAGGAGAGAAGAGTCAAACTGAAAAAAATATTGACAAAATAAATTTAACAGCATAAAGTAAGATTAGACCACACGAGCTTTTCTTGATTTTGCATCCGTATGGGGGATTCACCAGTGACATAAGGACACCATGCTGAACCGTAGACGGTGCCAGGACATCATGCAAGGGGCCCATTACCTCATATAATGTTGTAAGTTCTTTCCAAGGCCAAATTACATATTTGTTATCTTTACTCTTTCCTATGATAATGCACGTCTCGGTGTAGAGAGTGTCTGGTGTTCTGATTAAAATATTATTTGTATAAATTTATTTTTTAATTTTTTAATATATTAAAAATAATTAAAAATAATATTGGCACAATAAAAAATGTTTAAATAACAAGGCACCGTTGGCCTTAATTACTACTGAAACTTGTTTAATTAATGTTTATTGAACAATGCTAACCTGCCCAAACAGTGTGGATATGCTAGAAAAAACATTAAAGAGGAACTGTCTATTTGTTGCGTGAAAAATCTCATGTAATAAATGCCCTATACGTCTAGAGGTATTTATTAACGAGATTGAAAGAAAAATCTTAGGTATTAAACTTGAACCGGTATGTTCACTTGAAAGTTAAATCGGTTTAAATTTATTAAAAAATTAATTGGTGTAATGATTCAGTCAAACCCAATCAATCCTATAATCAGAGACAAACCTAGTATATTTTTTTTTTCAAATAAATAATTTGAAATCCATTAATATATATATTTTATGTTCAAAAAAAATATTTTTTTAATGTAAAATTTAAAATCTATTAGTATATATACTATATGTTTCCAAGAAAAAAAATTATATTTTTTAACGTGGGATAAAAAAAATTGATTTAAATACTTTAATTTAAAAGCTTAATATAATATCTTTTTAATATAGGATAAAAAACTTTTTAAAATATTATTTTAAACTTTATTATTTACAATATACATAGCTTATACTTGTATGGATTTTTTCTTAATTTTTTCATATAAAATATTAAAACTTTATATTTTTTAATTTTTTCTGAGTTGACTCATAAAATCTATGACTCGCTCTTTTGGCCAGGTCAACCTCCAGATTAGGTTTAATAACTATAAGACAAATAGCTAGAAATGAAAAAGTTGTTAAGTTAGATAAAAATAATAAATATTATCAAAGGTATATTGAAAGTGAATAAAGCCTAGGTGCACTTACTTAAACTTCTTATGAAATATAGTATATGTGTGCTCAATACACAATGTCAAGTATACCATAACAATATAATGCAGTGGAGGTGCATGTTCAGATATAATTATTAGTATGTTAAGTTATCCATTCATACCAATATTATTATAGATGCACGCATTTTAAATTGTTATGTATTTGTTAAATAAAATTTCTAGTTAGATAAATCCAAAAACATCTTATAAATTATGGACTTGTGAAAAACCTAGTTTAAAACAAATATATGTTTAAGGTTGCCTAACAAGAGTAAAAATTTATAATCCACAAGAAAGGATATTGAATTTAAGAACAACTAGTAATTTCTTCATTGATTATATATATAAAAAATAATAATCTAAAAGGTATAAATTTTATTATCCTAGCTATAACACAAGAATTGTTGAAATTGAAAATACTAGGCTCATTGAGAATAATGAAGCTAGTAGGAGTGAAATATCGAGTGATGTGAAAGTTTAAAAAGTTAAAGTATAAGTTCTTTTACTCTTTACATCTTTTAAAAATATCACACGATAAATACATTATTAACAAAACTATGATAAATGAACCATAAAAGATAACATTAAATAGGTCTTAGGTACAAAGCAACTCTATATTTTAAATTATTTTGTTGTATATTTATAGGAGTTAGAGTTTAACTTAAGACTTTATTAAAATATTTGAAGATTGCAAAAGACTCAAATGGAAATGGGTATTTGAAATCAAATAAGACTTAAATCATAATATTGAACGATACAAGACAATATTTGTTGCTAAAAGATTTATTCAGAAAGATGGCATTTGCTGCAAAGAAATACTTTTTTCAGTTTTTGAAAAAGAATCACCTAGAATTATCATGGTTTTGGTATTTCATTATGACTTAAACTTACATCAAACGAATATAAAAACTATCTTTTAAACAAGAATTTAAAAAGAAAAAAAAAGTCTATATAAATCAATTAAAGGAAATTTCCGTTGAAGGAAAGTAGTTCATGGTATGTGAACTTAAGAAACAAATATACAAACTTAGATAAGTTTTCAAAAAATAGTATTTTAAGTTTAATAATACTATTATTTTATAGTTTAAAGGAAAGCACTATTAAACTGTGTATATATTTAAAAGTCATTATGAATAAATTTTTATTTTTTATTTTGTATATTGATGATATCTCGTGTATAATTAATAATTTTGGTTTATTATACAAGACTAAGAAATTTCTTTCTCATAACTCCAAGATGAAAAACATGTAAGAGGCAACTTATGTAACTAGGATAAAAATATTGTAAAAAAGATCATAAGATTTTTTAATATTATCTAAATAAAATGTATTAGTAAGGTTTTAGAGAGACTTAAAATGAATAAATGCTTAGCAAATTGCATTCCAATTCAAATAAATAAATAAATGTAGTCTTATATAATACTTAAATAAATGTAGTCTTATATAATACTTAAATAAATGTAGTCTTATATAATACTTAAATAAATGTAGTCTTATATAATACTTAAATAAATGTAGTCTTATATAATACTTAAGAATAAGAATGGATTGA